CGGCGGTCCTATGTGAGAGGCGTCCCCGTGTCGGAGTGCCGACATGTGTGTGAGTCAGCGGTCTTAGGCGAAAGGCTGAACTATGTGTTAGAGAGAAGAGCTCGGCTCTTCGAGTCTCTGTCGGCCCCAGTGCCGAAATTGTAACGCCTCTGTATATATGCTGTACATAAACCTTGTTTGACTCACCGTCGTCTCGTCCGCTCGTCTGATCAGCTCTGCGCAGAATATGCGCTCACTCTCAATTGGCGCTGCCTGTGGGAATCTTGCTAATTGATCATCAGTACAAATTATGAAAAGACATGGTGCAGCTGCGAGAGAACTAAGCACGCGATTCCCCGGGCACCATTTGGAGGCGGGAAAATGCCGGCAAGTCCCAATGGTAGTTATGAAAGCAGGTGTTTTAGATGAAAATGTCGGAAGCGGAGAAGAAATATTGCCTCATCCCTCCCATCTCTCACAGACAGGCCTGCAACGTCGGCCTTAAGCTGTTTAATTATATGTATCAACATTGCGCGAATCTTTTCGGAGAATTTATTGGTGAGGTAATAAAAGATCTGACACAGTTATAACGAAGGAGAAAAAAAGTGATTAGTACAAAAACGAAAATTGGCGTGACAGTACACACATTGTGAACAAGAGATGTGCTATATTGGAAAAAAAGTTTGTACGACACTGACGAATGCAATGGTATCAAGCAGGTTGTTTGAAAGTGCGTCGGCTAACGAAAAATCATTGCAATTCAGGGCTTTATTTGAGCAGAATTTGGGATCGACGCTGATATGTTAAAGAAATCAGTGATGCAGTTGATGATGACGATGTCACTAAAGACTACACTTATACCACAGTTGTTTCACCAAAGGGTCGTCTCCTTCAGCCGAAGAATACTGTGGCTACATGAGTCACCGAGTACAGCCACTCGTAACTCCTCGAGAGAAATGCAGCTGACATTACGCATCCGTGCATAGGTCAGACAGGGCAACACATTGGCGAGTAATTATGGTCTCTTCGTCTCCCTTTGCCCTAACGTAGTATTGTTTCAGCGCCAACAATCCGCTTGAAACGCTATATACATTCGCTGCTTGAGCCCATCTAAACACTCAGTCTTTGGCCGGTCAATGTCCCGCCGTGGTGGTCTAGTGGCTAAGGTGCTCGGGCTGCTGATCCGCAGATCGCGGTACCGAATCCCGGCTGCAGCGGCTGCATTTCCAATGGAGGCGGAAATGTTGTAGGCCCGTGTGCTCAGATTTTGGCGCACGTTAAAGAACCCCAGGTGAGCGAAATTTCCGGAGCCCTCCGCTACGGCGTCTCTCGTAATCATATCGTGGTTTTGGCACGTTATACATCACAAATCATCTGGCCGGTCAAGACCTGACAAACTTGCTCAAATCACACCACGAGGCGACTTCGACAGTCCCGAGAAACATGGAGGTCCGGGCTGACGTCATAGATATGAGAGAGCCCGGGCTCCGAGTGTTACGGAGGCCGCCGACCCGTGAGGCGACGACCAGGTCGCGACGCCTTCCGGGAAGTGGAACGAGGGCTTCCTGGGAAAGCTGCTTTATCAGCGGGTCGAATGCAGGCCGTCTCATCCTTTGAAACCGTTCGTGTGAGCGACCCCCCCCCCCCCCCCCCACACACACACATTATACATTCTGCCTGGTTGCGGGATCACCTTCACCATCGCATTCCTGCTACTGCTGGTACAAAATAACAAATATTTTGTCCCTCAGCTACGCATGCGAACTCGGGTAAAGTGCCCGGCCATGGCAGCCACATTTTCACGGAGATTGTGAGAACTTATATTCGGGTCAGTTGGATGAACTTGAACATGTGGAGTGGGCTTAGCGCTATACAGAAGAATGGTAAGTTGGGCGAGCCGGTTCATTATGTAACTGCGCAAAAAGCGAACAGGAATACAAAAAGAAGAGAAATGACAGAGAAGTGCAGACTAAGAACTAATGGTTTATTGCAAGAACGAGGCAATATAAAGGACAGGATAAAAAACTGGTTCTGAATTGCTTTGTTTTTGTGTTGTTGAAATTGTTGTTTACTTCCCTCACATAATAATACTACATGGAGGTTGTTTGGCACGTGCGCAATAAATAAATAAATAAATAAATAATCAAATAAAAAATAAACAAATCAATAAACAAATACAAAATAACAATTGGAACACGTACGACGAAGTCCGCAGTGGAACAAGAGGATGACTTCCACCGCGCAGCTTTGTTCTTTTTCGTAGTTGGAACGTTGCTCTTGCTTTCTTTCTACGTACTCCTGAAAACACGCAATAACGTTGGACGTATTCTGTCTGCAGTAACAATAGGCCACATTTCTTTTTCTTCTTTTTTTTCATACGGGCTGTGTGCCGAACGCAGTCGCCGAACCTTTCTCGCCGTGCGAAGTGCTTTCAGGTGTCCGTGGATGAGTCAGCGTACACTTCACGCGTCCCAGCAGGTGCGCCTCCGCCACCCTGGAAGACGGCGTGTGTGGTAAATCCGCGACTGACACGTTTACGGCGTTGTCAAAACAAGCCGCTGCCGCCGCGAAAAATTGCGCGCCGCGGATGGAGCACAAACAAGCGGTCGAGGAGGCACTCGGCAAAAATAAGCACGATAAGATAGGAGCGTTGTACTACACACCATTCGAGATTATTGGTATACACAGAGTGCCACTGCAAAGTGACTGATAGCGTATGTGACGAGAAAGAGCATGCCGCAAATGAGGAGTATCAAAAAAATATATACACATCCTTCTTGGCCAACACTGAAATATCTTGCCTTTAACTGATTCCCGAAGCGTTTTGGATGCACGTATTACATTAAAGTGACTTTGTAGCGGCATTTCAATATAAATTCTAGGGTTTTGCGTGTCGCAAACCACGATATGAATATACGCGACGCCGCAGAGGAGGGCTGCGGAAATTTTGACTAATTGGTCTTCTTTAACCTGCACCGATATCCACTTACATGGGGCTCAATCATTACGGCTTCCACTGAAAATGCGGCCGTCGCGGACCGGATTCAACCCCGTGACCTCCGGCTCAGCAGTCGAGCTCCATTATAGTCAGACCACTAGACCACCGCGGCGACTCATTAGCCCGATGGCGAGCAAAAAAAAAAAAAAAAGAGGTGAGGTCCAGGACGTCCCCTCTGAAAGTCTGGCCGTGCAGAGGGGACCCGCGTGAAGGCCCTCTGCACTCGCGGCTATTGTGGACGTGATAAAATTGTCTCACTCACTCACTCACTCACTCACTCACTCACTCACTCACTCACTCACTCACTCACCTTTAAGCGCAGAACACGTGTAGCGTTTAGCGGAAAATGCGCCGCAGAACTTAAAACGTGTAAGCACTAGATAACCGCACGTCGCCTAGGAGGCTATGGCTTCGAAAGCAAGCGCGCTAGCGTTCGCTACGATCACCCACGCAGCGCGGGGCCACTTCTATAGCCGGAAGGCCTCATGTATATAGCACGCTACTGCAGTGTTGTGTGGACACAATGATGATTGGTTGATATGTGGGGTTTGACGTCCCGAAACCACCATATGATTATGAGAGACGCCGTAGTGGAGGGCTCCGGAAATTTAGACCACCTGGGGTTCTTTAACGTGCCCCCAAATACGAGCACACGGGCGTATGACATTTCCGCCTCCATAGGAAATGCAGCCGCCGCAGCCGGGATTCAATCTCACGACCTGCAGCGGTGTGGACACAAGGAGCTGACCAGCAGTGCTTTTATCAGGGCAAGTCGGTGCGACATTGAAAGCCGGGAGCTCTGGTCACGTTGTGCCGAGTCTTTCGCGCGTCTTTAGTGCTGGCTTGTTTCGCTAACCAGCAGCTTTATGCAGCGTGGATCTGAGTAAAGGCCGGTTTGTCACAATGCTCTCAGTCATGGCCGAGTGTGACGACGAAGACAGGAACTGGTACTCTGGCACAGACGCGCATGCTAGGCGAACGAGGAAGAAGAAACAGAATAATAACAGCTGGCCCAGGATCGGGTGTTGTCTCTTGTTCTCTGTCTAGTACATCACAATATATATATATATATATATATATATATATATATATATATATATATATATATATATATATATATATATATAAGCAAGCGAGAAATAGTGAAATAGGAACACGGTGAGAATCAAAGGGATAAAATATACATGAATTGATATAAACGCATAAAAAAGGAAAAAATAGAACGAGGAAGGAAGAGAGCAAAAAAGAATACTGAAGAGAAACAAAGAAGGTGGCCTAGCTTCGAATTTCTTGCACGCTCAGCACCCTAAGTATGAAACTTTTTTTTTTCCTTTGTGCCTCCACTGGAGCTTCGCGTCGTATCTCCCCTGCTCTACACTCGCGTCGGCACGGGACCTCTGTTTGTAAACACCGCGCTAGGTCGTCTCGAAGGCGCCGGTCGCGGAGAGATTATTTTTCCGGGTCGAGTGCCGCGAGGGGAAGAGCCGTGAGTCATAACCGCGCGCTTCCCTTCCCCGAGTCGTTCCCTGAATGCTTGGCTCAGCTGCTGTGAGTCAAGAGCGCGCGTCCGTCGCCGCCCACGTCACGAGCAGCAGCGGTGGCAGCACCTGCCGGTGCGGTGGCCATGCACAGCGAGGGAGTCACATTGGCGATGAGTGATGGATAGCCGAGTGTCGTGTTAAAAGCGTTGCAATTTTTTTTAGAGTAGAATGATAACTAGGCCGGTTACCTCATGCATTAACCTAAGAAGAAGACTGGAAGATGAGAGCCATTATCGCTTTCTTCCCGGTCGATGGATTGAACCCCTCCCGCTACCCTGCGGGATATTTCTGCAACTGCACGCCTTTTGTTACCAATCAATCAATCAATCAATCAATCAATCAATCAATCAATCAATCAATCAATCAATCAATCAATCAATCAATCAATCAATCAATCAATCAATCAATCAATAAGTAGAAGACCACAACGTTAATGAAAAAAAAAAGCCAGGAGGCCTTTATTGCGCGGGGTGTGTCTCCCGAGCTAATAGTACACTCCTGGGTACTCCTTTTCTGTATCCTTCTTCAGAGAATTCGACGGGCTGGCCTTGCAGAGAGCGTCCTTGGAGAACATCGGCCTCTCCTTGGCGCAGCCGAACCGGTTTGCGAAGAGCGGGTTGTTCATGGCGAAAGGTAGGTTGACCCTGCGGGAAGTCATTCCCTATAAGGTCACGTGATTGTGTTCGCCGCGTCGTCGAAGACACAAGGATTTAAAAAAAAAGATAATTTACTCACATAGGCACTCTCATGTCACACAGGCTATACAAAAACGCCACACAAACTAGCAGCATGCGCGTCTCTTTTTTAACGTCGTGGTCTTCTCCCTTGACGCTACAACAGAACACGCGCATCTCGTGGTGTCGCTAGCAATGTGCCTACAACCTTGTCGAATACACTATAAGGCGACAGAAAAAGGGCACGAAGGAATGTAGGATGACGGGAAGGCACGTGTTCTGTTCATCTTGATATTGCGGTTAATTATGAACTGTTCCAGAAGTTTTTTTCTTTTAAGGTGCGCGCTACACTTACTATGATAGTATGTTGTGAGACCTTAAATCTGACCGCAATTTCGACCAACCGAGCACGTTGGCAGACATTTTCCTTTAAAAAAAAGCAAGAAATGCTGAAGAGAACACAGCGTACACATAGCGATATAAAATAAAGGTGCAGAACTGCGCATGAAAATATCGACTCCAGATAACCAAGAGTGCTATAGGAGATGCATCGCCTCAGCGTAAGTGTCTGTCCTGCCTCTCACGCTCCGCTTCTTGGCGCTGCTCTGACGGTCGGCCCTAGTGCTGTTCCGAATTCCAGAAAATGGGTATGTTCGCTACTTTTCGCACGTGATTTGGACGCATACTTCATCATTTCAGGACAGACATGCAGTGAAGCCTCACTCTGAGTAAGAAATCGGAAAAACAAAATAACCAATTTGTTAGCCTGAGTGTACTTTTTTCAGACGTACTGTACAAACGTTCCTTATCTCCTACAGTTCAGGTTTGCATCGCTCTCGGAGCAAAATTCCAGAAAATAACGCCGGTTATCTGCTTACTTATCGGCTGCAGTGGCTCCATCCCGTTTTCGGAGGTACGCGTTAGTCGGGTCAGGATCCATGTGCTCGCATCGGGCCTGAAAGGTAAAGTAGGCCCCTACATAATTTGGTACTGTACAGGAGGAATTGCATGAGAGGTAACTACTATTCGTATCAGTAGTATAGTATCAGTAATAGTAAGCCACACAGACTGAGTACACTTTATTAGAGGTGAAGCTCCTTGAGTCTTGGATCGTGCGTCCGCGATGAATTTAGTTGTGGGTAGCTACCTCTAGTTTTGTTTTTTGAATGTACACTAGATGGCGGTGCTTGTATGTGGCGATTATATGACGAAACGATGTGAGATGGCGGTACTTGGAGTGCTCACTAGATGGACGAACAAATGAACGGACGAGCAGACAGACAGACAGATAGGCGCGTACTGGCCGCATAATCTGTTTTACTGCAGTCCGCTGATATCCCGTGGCTGACATAGTAAAAGGGCCCAGCAGGTTAACGCAAACATGGTCAAATGGGTCTGTGGGTATGTCGAAGTGCTGAAGACGTCCAGTAAGAGGGGTAATTTGGTTTTTTCCGTCGTTGACAATGGTCGCACGCAGCAACATAACGGCAGACGTCCCAGTACATGCCAGACCATACGAAACGCCGGCGAACTCTGTCGAAGGTACGTGGCACGCTGATGTGATCAGCTGTTGGCACATTTCAAGGGGGACAACAAGTAGTCTGTCAGGGTCGTCAAGATGCATATTGCAACGGTACCATGCACCTCCATGGAGCTCAGACATTCGAAGGAAACGGTCTGTCGTCACCAATGTTAGCCTTCAGATAATACCGTGAAAGAAGGTGTCCAGCCGTTGCCGACAGATAAGGTGGCTGTAGAAGAGTCACCGTCTGGTGGGTTGACAGGATATCGGGACAAGCAGTCACCATCTTGATGTAAGCGATCGGTTCTGTATTCGACTGAATAATGGGATTTTCTAATTGCGCTGCGCCCGACGGCCAAGACGGCCTGAATGGTCTTTCAGGGACGAAAGCCGGCGGAAATCATGGTGATCAGTGACGACTGTGAATGACCGCTCGTACAAATAAGAACGAAAACATCTTAGGTTGATACGGGGAAAGGTTTTACCACCCGTATTCTAGCTTGATCAGAATGAACACCAATATGATAAACAGAATTTTTAGGACGGCTGAAGTAGCATTTCGCCGGATTGAGTTGCAGCCTCACCACACGAATGACAGATAAGATTTTCGATAGTATTTCAAGATAGCACAGGCAGATTGACCTTTTGAAGGCGTGCAGAAGGGCGTCCATCATAAGTTCGAACGTGGCGGTCGCACAATTAATATGCATGTAGACCAATAATCAGACGAGGAATTAGAGGGAAGTAAGCGAGCGTGTAACCATACCTGGTTGTTGTCCCAGAAGCGGCAATAATTCTTTGTGGATCAAACGGTGACTCCGGATTGTGTTCCATAGCACCTAACGGCTACACATGTAGACCGACAGTGCAACCAAATAGGTCACCTCACTTTCATTGTACTGTAATGATTTCTTGTTTGTTTATGCATGCGACTGAACTTGCAGCTCAATGCATATATTTATCGCCTTTTGTAAGGTATTCACAACATACTGGAGGGGCCAACAGAATAATCTACGTCAACGCATAATAAACATAGAACAGAAGTCTCTTCGTTTTCCTCTACTGGCTAACTGGTAACAGGCTTTTTCAAAGCACTGGCACTGTGCAGTGACTACATTACGGTGACAGCCACGTACCTGGGCAGCTTGGATGAAGAAGTACTGGCCTTCGGTGAAAAACGGGATCAAGGACACTCTGGCCTGCTTGGAGACATCCCACTTGGCATGGTTCAAGACGTTTCGGTACATCTGAAATAAATTTGCTGCCTAAATATTTCGCTTAGGCAGTTTCGGTGACCCCCATTTTGTTGCGATTCTAAAGAAACTAAGCATTCATTCGTATTCGCCCTTTAAACGGTGCATGATACTTCTCAACGCACAAATAGACGTCTTTCTAGGGCTCCCAATAAAATTTAGTCTGCCAAACGCACAGAATCCTTTCAACTTCGATCAACTGTTCTCCAAAATATAAGTACGATAGCTACAATTTCGAATGGTCTACATCTATAGCTAAGCGGCAGGAGGAAGCATGACACGTACTATCGGCGTCAAATGAAACCCGAACAGCGGATCGCGTGTTTCAAGCATTACAAACAGTATAGTGTTGGCCGTCCAGTCATCACCACTGACAGGCGTGCACATCCGGTTTGGCAGCACTGCGCGATCCCCCTTTGCAGTACGTTATCTCTGTTTCTGCTCTAGTTTTCGCATGGCGGTAATGGTGGCCATCGTGGGCGTGCCAAGCGCTTTTGATCGTATCACTTGCTATTCCTTGCTTTTACTTCAGCATGGCAGTGCATTCGGTGAGTTGCCTCGATAAAATAAAAAAGAGAAATGTAATCGGTTTGCGGCTGATTTTCAAACGATCGTGGTGTCTTGGCACAATAAAACAGAAAAGAGAAATATAATCGGTTTGCGGTTGATATTCAAACGATCGTGGTGTCTCGTTCGACAGCGCTGCTTTACCTGCACCCTTCTTTCAGAGACCGACCCAAAAACGCGTCACATTAACGGAAAATGCCGAGCGTTTCTTTGGAAGAGAGAGTGCAGATTATTTCGTTTTACCGGCACGAAGTGAAATAGCGTGAAATCGCCAGCATTATGAACTGACTTTTGTCTACTATAAATAGAATCAGCCAGAAATTTTATGATGGACTCCGTGATGACAAACCGTGCTACAATACTCGCCTTCGGCTGCAGTTGTTTGACCTTTGTTTTTTTATTTTGTTCCTTTCAAATACCATACCTGGAACAGAAGCATAAATATTGCGCTATAGGGGGATCGCACAGTGCTGCCACACCGGATGTGCGGGCCTGTCTGTGCCAATGACTGGTCGACGGCAGGCACTATGCCATTGATAAGGCTTGTGCCACTACGCTGTTCGCGTTTCATTTGATGCCGATAGTGCACATGGTATACGATCGCCGTGCCCCTGTATGCCTGTTAGGTAGCGCACGCTCCCGCTCTCGCGACCGTGCATTTACGAGCAGTGTGTGCAGTAGCTGCTCGAGCGAAGCAGGCAGCCCCTCTTCACGCTCACTTGTCGAGCCTCACACATGGGATGATGTTAACGCATGCACCCTACGTGCGATGCAGATGACCACGGCTCGTTTCATCTCTGCTTCCGCTGCGTTATTGCTGGCGCGTAGTAACTACAATGCGAGGGCCGAAGTTATCGGCGAGTGACCAAGATGTGGGATTAGCTGTCGAAATCGCGCAAGAGGATCACAATGGCGATACGATGGACACCGACGAGCACTAACTGAGGTGAGGGGCTATCACCTGGAATGAATTTTTAGTCCGCACTGTATACTTTTGCAAGCTGCTTGTGCACGTCCACAAGAACTGGCCGGACAGATTTGCAGGTCGCAAGTTCGACATTCTATGTATCCTTCTGCAGTTTCTCAAACGCAATCTAACCGATGCCTTTGAAAACACATCATAGGTGTTCTGCAAGTTACATTATGTTGGCAAGAGTAAACTTAAGGGCTCGTTTTCTTTTGTTAGGCACAGTACCAATGAGAACTAACAGACAATAATATTAGGGAAAGTATAGGGTAGTACGTGTATGAAGTAAATGTAGTAATGCGAATGTGAAGAAACAAATGTGTGGACGACAAGATAAGTTGCCACCGGCTGGACTGAACCTGCAATCTTCGAATAACACATATCAGGCATTATTATCTGTTAGTTCTTATTATTAGCGTCATTTATGTGAACTTAGACTGAGTAATATTCATCCCAAACAGTTTCCCCCATAGTACAGCGGTAAAAAATGACGACATTTTTTTTTGTCGCATCGCTAGTGCATTTTCATGTCGAATAATTTATTTTATACCACATCTTTTGCAATACGTGCCTAATTACTGTAAATAGTAATTTAGTTGGTCATCCAAGCTTTGTACTGCAAACAGCGTGCGTCGTATACCAGTTTTCACGACAACAAAAATGCTATTATTATACAAGAACAAGCGGCACTTCGAGTGGTGCCAGTGGAGCCGGAAGCACAGCCATTCCGGTGCTAGCCCTGTGCTTTCTGGCTCAAACCTTCGGCTTTCAGCGTTGAATCAACGATGGAAATATCGCGGCAGGTGCGTCGACATTAGAGTGCGTGACAATTTATTCTTACGATATGAATGCGATTCGTTATGTACGCTTGAATCGCTTTTACTATGCAGGCATTAGATGATATTTTTTGTGCCACTGTAATGGAGCTTTTGAATAAAAGACAAAGAACTCCGTTAAGGCTGCTCGGCTGGAGACCCGAAGGTTGCGGTTCGACGGAGGCGAAATGACACAGGCCGGTGTACTGTGTCATGTGAGCGCAAGTTCAAGAACACCGAATTGTCCGAATTCCCGGAGCCCTCCACTATATACTGCGTCCCTTATACATATATATATATATATAATCTTACCGCGTAAGCCATCGGCACAGCCACTGAATCGAAGAAGATCTGCGTTGCTCCTGTCTTGTTCTTGCTTTTCTGAAAAAAATGCAATGAAAGTAATTGACCGCCAAACAAAAAAGCATGCTCTAGTTTTAGCTAGGACATGCGAGTTCGAGAAAGATTAAGCCACGCGAAGGTGCGAAGTGTAACCATTTTAGAGACTTTGGGCACACCACTTATTCTTTTTTGTTGTCACGGTTAGTGACAACAAAGAGCGTACGCTGTGCTTTGAATGAAATAAAAAAAATCAATTATTAAAACTGCCATGCCTTAGTAATGCATCTCATTTAGCCTTCCTTTTGTAAGCTACTGTTGCACATGATCAGTTCCGCACGAATCATTTGGTGGGTCGTTTTCCACGAGCTACGCCGAAAATAAATATTTCTCTATTCTTTAGAAGTGAACATAACTGGGAGTCAATGAGCGCTGTATTTATAGCCGTAATTTTTACTTTATGTAAGCAAAACACAGAGGATCCAAGTGTTGAGAATTGATGGGCTTTTATTTAAATGGATAATAACTACTTTAATTAATAAGTATTTCATGACATTACATTTCTGTCGTAATGTGCAAATTGTACGCATTTACCGACAGTACCTCATAGGTGGCTTCTGATGGGGCTAATAAGTTTTTGCTGACCCTACCAGCAGAGCAAGAAGTTCCCAGTGCCCAGAATATTGTCACTTTCTCGCTTTTTTTGGACATCCTTGACATCACGATTACGAATTATCCTGAACCCCTTCTATGAACAGATCTTTAACCCACCTCTATGGCTTGGTTCAACAACCCTGACAGTTACAGTGGTGTGTTCGCTACATGTGCCGAACTGGCCTAACCTAATATAACCTAACCTAACCTAACTTAACCTAGCCTAACCTAACTTAACCTTACCTAGCCTAACGTAACCTAACCTAACCTAACCTAACCTGACCTTGCGAGAGTCTGGCTTCTGTCAGTAGGCTGACCGCAAGTACAAAAGAGCGCTACAGCTAGAGAGTACCGCATACTGAACTACCGCGTCATGCAGCTCATCTTGAAGAGATTTGTTCGATTCGGGGACGGGTCTGAAATAAGAGGAAACCCACCGAGTTTTATTCCAGTACACCTAAACAATATAACAGATGGTCATAATGAATGCACTGTCCTTCATTGTCCGCTGCCTTCGTGCAGCGGTTAGCGTGCTCGGCTGCAGACCCGAAGGTTGCGGGTTCGATTCCGGTCGTGGTGGTCGCATTGCGATGGAGGCGAAATGATAGAGGCCCGTGTACTCCGTGATGTCAGTGCACGCTAAAGAACACCAGATTGTCCATATTTCCATATGCCCATGCAGACTACGTGCACTTGTGTGACGTCTTAGATATATCTAAGGTTTCGACATTCGCAGGGTTCTAATTGCACAAGATTACGCGGTTTTAATTGTGGCTTTAATTGCACATTGTGGTTTTAATTGCAAATTGTGGTTTTAATGTGGTTTTAATTGCACATGGCCATGCACAACGCAAATTGTGGTTCGGTTTCTATCAGTGGCAAGCTGTTTTTGTCCACCTACATTTAAAACGCCTCACGATGGTTACCCTTTATCAGCGAAGTGCTGTGGTTTTATTTGGCTGACTATGTTGTTGACAACAACAGGAGGAACAGGCAACAAAACCACCACTAAATCGAAGTCTCCCTATCGCTCAGCCTTTACCTCTAATTGAAATTGACACCCTAATAATGCTGGCAGTTCACTCATTTTACTTACTTTTTCCTACTCGTTCTTTAGCCCCCAGCGTAGCAACAGCATAAGCTGGCATTCAATGGCCGTCAAAGCTGTTGGAAAGACTTACAGGGTTTACGAGACCTCGGAAACATTCGATGGACTTGAAAATAGGTGCTCCATCACCCTCTTTTTTTTCGGCTCGAACGCTGAAAAGAATACAGAAAAAATACTGAAGGTCGGCAATGGTTTAGGTGTAGTGATTGCGGTGCGCAGATTTTTTGGGGGTCGGGTAACTGTGCTGCTGCATTCTTCCCAATAACTGACTTGCGCTCTCTGGCCCGTTTCCTTGAGATCTCGCTCCATACTCATGGTGTTCCGAATATCGCGCAGCGAGATTTAAAGAGAAAAGGAACATCGTTATATGCTAAACAGCCACTGTATGTTCTGAACCCGACAAGTTACATTTAAAGAGACCCTGAAATGGTTCTGAAGATTTTGTGCAAACATGTGAAGTGAATGGAACGAGTCCCAAGGGTAATTTGCAGACTTATTTCTAGAGATATGAGCAAACTGCGTTTTTATTGAAACGTTTAAAGCT